GTGGGGGAAGGTTTAATTTTGACGATGGAGGGTCCTACTGCGGAGGCTGGGAGGACGGCAAGGCGCACGGCCATGGCATCTGCACCGGCCCCAAGGGCCAAGGCGAATACACGGGCTCGTGGAGCCACGGCTTCGAGGTGCTGGGCGTCTACACCTGGCCCAGCGGCAACACGTACCAGGGCACCTGGGCGCAGGGCAAGCGCCACGGCATCGGCCTGGAGAGCAAGGGGAAGTGGGTGTACAAGGGCGAGTGGACGCACGGATTTAAGGGGCGCTATGGGGTGCGGGAGTGCACGGGCAACGGGGCCAAGTACGAAGGAACCTGGAGCAACGGGCTGCAGGACGGCTACGGAACGGAGACCTACTCGGATGGAGGTAGGTGCGACGGGCGCGCGCGCGGGGCCTGCTCCCTCTCTCGCCCCTGCTGCTGGTCTCCGGGGAAGTTGAGCGGCTCCCTCCAGTTGGGCTGTGGGCGTCTGGGGCGTTTGTTGGGCCACCTTGGAGGCCATCGCAGCCTCTGGCCACAGGTTGCCCAGCCGGCTGGTGGGGGCCAGTGCCCTGGTGATGCTGAAGGTTGGGGGGCCTTCCAGGAGCAGAGTTGGGCCTGGGGAAGGAAGCTGAGCACAGTCCCCGGCGCATCAGCCAAGAGCAGGCCAGGACCTGCAGGCAGGCCAGGGCCGGGCCAATGGCTGCCTCCGGACCGCGGGCAAGGGTTGGGGTGGGGGACAGGGAGAGGGCCCCCTCCCCTTGCTGGCAGAAACCTCCTCGGTGTGCCTTCCCCAGGGGTCAGGCCCCAGCTTGGTTTCTTGTTTCCCTGCAGTGCTGAAGGGCCTCCCTGGGTCCTGAATTTGCCCAAGCCAATGGAAAGAAGCACTCTGTAGCCCTAGAGGCGGGGATGCAGCCCAAACCAAAACAGCACGGCAATAAACTTCTAGGTGGTTGGACGCGGGCACGCACTGTGGAAGCGGCTGCTGGAGGGAGGGAGGTCCATCTGTTTAGCGGGAGCTCAGACATCTCGGATGCAAGCGGCTGAATCATTTTCCCAGCCGTTCAGGGACTGGGTCTGTGCTTTGATTCCAAGATGCCGCCACTCTCAGGGCTGGAGCCCAGGGCTGGAAGCCAGCGAGCTGCCTGCCATGCTGCTGGAAGATGGTCTCTTGTGTTGGGAGCGGTGGTCTGGCTGGCATCTCTCCCTGTCCTGGACGCGCCAGTGTCCATCCTTAGTGCCTCTGAGCCCTGTGGAGACTTGATTGTTCCTGGAAGCCAGAATCCAAACAGACCTGTTTTCAAGATGCTCCCTCCCTCCACCTCAGAGCTCACCCCAAGAGGTAGCTCCTTTGCCTCCTTCCTGGCAGCTTGGTTATGTTTTAGGCATGGAAGCCTGGGAACGAGGGGGCCGTGGCAATGGCTTGAGCACTTCTGTTGGGAATAACAGCCATGAGTGTACATGTGGTCCCCGACTCCCTGCCTACTGCTTCCCCCGAGTCTCTGAGGAAAGCTCTCCACACCTGCTCCCCGGCTATGGTCATGAGTGACGGATGGCTGAAGAGTAATTATTATTTTGGCTTATGCAATGGAAAGGCAGCGTTCGCTATTACCTGGAGAGAAGGAGCCCGGGGCAGTTAATTATATAATGCTCCTGCCTGCATGGCCCTGCCCAGCCCTAGTCCCAGGCGGCCTCTGCTGTGCTGTGGTTGCTTTCTTGGAGCAGGTTGCGGAGCGGCCCCTGGCCCTGAGATGCCGGGGGCCTGGAGCAGACAGCCCTCCTTCTGGCTTGTGCTTGTGTGTGTGTGTGCGCGCTTGCATGCAGGACGAGGCGGGCAGCACACGTGGGTGGCCACAGCAGCAGGCAGGCAGCCTGCCTGGCGCTCCCAGCTGGTCGGTTTGTGAACCCAGGGGCAGCTGTCACCCCAGGGCTGCTGTGTAGAGCCGTCTTTCCAGGGTGCTCCCAGCCATGCTTGCACCAGGAGACCCAGCCCTCACCTGCGTGCAGCATCTCGGGATGTTTAAGAGCAGTGTCTAGCGCCCTGGTCTGCCCACCATCCCTGGCTTGCAGGATTCACGTTCTTATTTAGCTGGTGTTTACTGAGCATTGACTACATGCTGGGTGCTGCCAGTCACAGTGAAGCACCGATGAACAAGGCAGGCAAACGTTTTAGCCCTCATGGAGCTTACGTTTTAAGGGGGGAGGGGGTTAGTTATGTTGTCTTTAGGGGATGGGAGGATCTGAGTCCATGGCTGGCTGTCCGTTTAGCATCTGTGCTGCTGGCTAGAGAAATGTTGTTGTTTTTTTCAACTGATCCATTTCCTTGGGGTTTCTGCCCCTCGCCTAGCTAGCCATGCAAGCTTTCTGCATCATGAAGCACTCACCCGCACATGGTCCTGTTTGAGGCTCCTGTGATGATGGGGCAGGGAGTGCACCCATCTTACAGGTGACACTGCTGAGACCCAGGAGTCTGGCCCCACAGTGGTGGCAGAGCTAGGGTTTGAACCCAGATCTGTCTGGGCTCCTCACGGTGCCCAGACTCATGACCCTGCCCTCGAGGGCATCGTGGCCCTCTGCTCTCCTGTGTGTGAACTGAAGCAGGTGCACAGATGGGGGCTCCAGGGTGGCCACTCCCTTCTGGGTGGCGATGTGGCATGACAGAGAATGGCACTGACCTTCAACGCCTAGGGCACTTTTCTGTAACACAGTCCCTGTTTCCTGTCAGGAAGGATGGACTGTTGGGAACGTGTGGCCTCAGGCAGTCTGTTGGCCAGCAGAGCCAAACTAGGGTGTCATCGTCTGCCAAATGCAGGGAAACAGTGGGGCCTCGGCTCCTTGTCCCCAAGCAACTGGTGGTCGGTGCTGGAGCATGCGTCGGAGTAGGCAGGCAGAGTCTTCGTGGGTTAATGGTCTGACTCCAGTCCGAATTTCCCTCTGCACAAGAGATGGACAAATTGGACGGCATCAGCAAAGCCCCGGACGTTAGCCCGGCTCCAGTGCTGACTCGGGGAAACGCGTGTGTCATGAATAATGCGGGCCCGGCACACACTCCACGGCAGCCGGGGTTGGTATGGAATCCAGTTCCAGTGGGCACACTTCGCCTGGGTTCACCCTCGCCTGGCCGCAGGCAGGCAGTGCTCACTGATGGGAGCCGAGTGGCTCATGGTCTGCTGGGGGGCCTGGGGGCACTGGAGTTGCCAGCCTGGGCTTGAGTCCCTGCTCTGCCACGGCCCCATTGTGACCTTGGAATAGTTACTCCACCTGTCTGAGCTTTAAAGGGCTGAAAACAACACTTGCAAAGTAAGAGAGAAGTAACTGGGATGATGTGTGTATCTATGGCATCCCTGGGTGGTCAAATGGCTGTTAGACCAAAAGGTTGGTAGTTCGAGTCCAAGTGGAGGTACCTTGGAAGAAAGGCCTGGAAGTGTGTTTCCAAAAACGCCCACGCTGAACACCCTCAGGAGCATGGTCCTCCTGTGCCACGTGGGATCACCATGAGCTGGGGTCGACTCCGTGGTAGTTGGTGAAAGAAAATGTGGTGACTGGTAGGAAACGCCAGGAATGCAGTCAGCTCTCGTCATTCATTACTTCTCGTTACCACTCCATGCAGTAAGAGTTACTCAGAATGATCAGTATTGTAACCAGGACATAGAGATGGTGGCGATGAATGGCAGTGGCCAGCACTTAGTTCCAGGCATGCCGCTAACATCTACACAGAATAGTGTCACTCGGTTCTTAGGACTCTAGAGGGCTGTGACCTTATCGTTATTCCCACCGCACACACTGGGGAACTGAGGCACAGAGAAGCTAGATGGCTTGGTTGTGGAGGACTGGACGCGGCCAGGCCCCACGCTCAGGAGAGGCATTCCAGGGCTGAGCTGTTATTCCTTATGCCTCCTGCCCAAACTCCTTGGGGAAAATTCCTCCCTCTCCTTCCTCTTCCTCCACACCCATGCTTCTCTTTGTCCAGAGTTGTAGCCCGACGCACACAGGACACGTGTGCACCCACATCCTGCCTGTATTCCTCTCCGGTCTGACTGTGCTGTCCCACTGTGTCTCCACTCGCTGGGCCCTGGCATGTTGCTGCCTAGGTAAAATAACCGTTGGGTGCAGGGTACACAGAACCCCTCAGACCAAAAGGTACCCCCTACAAATAAACCCACCCACACCCTGCGAGATATGAGTCATCCACACACCCGGCCTCTCCCCCGTACACAGATCCCGTTCACCAGCCCAGATCCCTCGGCCCACGCAAATCACACACACCCACGGTTGGAATCCAGAACCACCCAGGCGCCTGCGCGCACACGCGCATATACACCTGTCACCCGGAGGTGTATGGACCCTGTCCCCCAAACACAGCCACGTGCATCCTCCCAGCATCATCCGCGTCCCCAAGCATCCGGGACCTCCGCTGGTTCCTCCTCCCGAGAGAAGCATGTTGTTGCTCTGAAGGGAGAAACCAGCCTTGGAGGGGTTCAGATTATACACGGGAATCCTGCTTTGTTTCCATCTTAAATGCGTGTTTGCGTGCTAATGCCCCTTTAAGGGGGAGAACCATTGGAACAAAATAAACCACCACTGGGCATATTCCTGGCAGTTGGCCAGAGTATGTGAAGCCGTAAACTCTTTTTTCACCCAAAAGTCCAGGTTAGGAGGGAGCAGGTCTGGCCACCCAGATATTATGCAAATAGGAGGAACTCGCTTCAGAAACAAAAGGCAGCTAACACTGGGCAACTGGAGGGAAAAGCAGTTCCACAGACTCCCTTTCAGCCACTTTGGGCTAAAGGCTCCATAAGGTGAAAGGAGAAGGAAAAAGCAGTTAACTGGCTCTTCGCTGTCAATTCTAGCTGGGAGAGAAGCATTATTGAGAAGCCTCCCTCACCCCAAACTCAGCCCTCAAGCTATTTAACGTCTTTATATAAAGAAACCTAACGCAGACTGAGGAGAGGAGGCCCAGTGTCCGCCTGAAATAGCTGGCCCAAAGGGTGGTTGGTGAGTAGCCCAGCTGACGTTAACCATTCACACGGCTAACCTGAGCAGAGGGGCAGTGGTGGCCCCGTGTCTTCCGGGGACAGTGGCCACAGAAAGGGAGACCCAGAGCAGGACGGCGATGGGGCAGGAAGGCAGAGCCAGGACCCTCTGCAATTTCCCTTCCACTTATTTTCTTCCTCACTGTTCCACAGGCCTCCACAACTCTAAATATAACTAGCTACCAGCTAGGAGCTGATGATTTTGCGAGCAAACCAGGTTCTGTGTAACACTTTTTATGTCCTCAAATGACAGAAATTCTTAGATTCCTGGGGACCTGAGAGAGGTTTAAATTTCCCACAAAGACCCATCTCTCCTTAGCTTAGCTGCCCTGCCACCTTATAGTTCTGGGGCTTTG